TTTTTTTTTTTTTAACATTACAGGCAAACTTCAAATCCTAACTTCATCTTCCAATCAAGCAAATTCCTCTAATTAATGCCCTCCCTCTTGTCCCCTTGATTTAGGGGTGAGCTTCTGACTAACTGCTTTCTCTCTACCAAGAATGTGAATCATCACCAGGTACAGTGGTGCACGCCTGTAATCCCAGCAGCTTAGGAGGCTAAGGCTGGAAGATTTTGAGTTCAAAGCCAGCCTCAACAATGATGAGGTGCTAAGCAACTAAGTGAGACTCTGTCTCTAAATAAAATACAAAATAGGGCTTGGGATGTGGCTTAGTGGTTGAATGCCTTTGAGTTCAATCCTCAGTACCCTCCCCCATCTCTGCAAAAAAGAGAGCATGAATCGTGAATGATACTGGCCAAATTATATTGCTATATTGTGTGCATGTATGAATGTGTAATAACAAATCTCACAATCATGTACTATTATAATGCACCAATTTAAAAAGGGGGAGGGAATGTAAATCATGAGAAAAGAAATAAAAAGAGAAGGGCTAAAGTTGACTCACCCCAGAGGTAGTGAGTTAATATCTAAATTCTCAGACCTACCCTGGTTTCTGTCCTTTTCCACTGATTGTATAAGGTTCCCATATTTTTACTACCACTCCAACTCTCCTATCTTCTATATCACCTATGTCCTCACTTCCTTCCTGACTCAGCTTTTCAATATCTTAACCCTAACCCTAACCCAAAACCTCTGTCACTCTGGGTGATATGGGCATAACCAAGGCTGTACTTCTCGAGGAACAAATATCATATACTCCAAACTAAAGGGGGTTGGGGGTTATATCATATATTCCAAACTAAAGGGGGTTGGGGGTTATGGAGTATATCAAAATAATCCAGCCAGTCAAAAAACAAACAAACAAAAGCAAATAACAATAAGCTATTGTTGAGGGTGGTTGGACCAATACACTGAGTTGCCAAAATATGATACCTAAAATTTATGGCACATGCAAAGAAATTGGAAAGTATGACCCATAAAAAAGAGCAAGTAACAAAAACTGTTCATGAATATGAGCAGATGTCAGATTAAAAAAAAAA